AATTTGCTTCGCGTTATCGCGCGGTTCGGCACACCTTTCGACAAAGCGCGTAAACCGACCGGCCAGCTACGCCCGTCTCGTCGTCGGTTTACTTCGTATCACAAGATAACCAATTAACGCGCCTCGCACCGCGAACACACTATCTAAAATTCATTTACACCGCCTGCCGTTTCGTTCGATCAGAGCCGCCGAGCGGGACTTCCCGGTTCCTCCGTCTCCTCGAAGGTAACTTTCTTTCCTTTTTTATTTTTACTCGAATACGCGGGCACGTGTCGCGTGCGTAGTGCCTGTGCGCAGCGAAGCGGCGGACGCATGCGTCGCCGCCATTGCGTTTAATCTTCGGAGCTCCGACTCTCGACAAGTTCTCATAACTTCTATCTCAAGGTCTGTACATTTTTTTTACAAAATAACGAAATATTCGATGGTTCAAATTACATAGGATTCTGTTCTCAAGTAATCAACGAGATCACGGCTTCCCTGGAAGTCTCAGAACTTCATTTATTCTCCGTTAATCGAGCAATGGTACTCTCCTTTCGACGTAGCTATCTCAAAATCAAACGTCTTAGGCGATTCTATTTACAACAATTGCCAATGTCCTGTTTTCAAAACAATTCCAACCGTCATACACGATCAGAACCTGTCGTTCGACGGAACCCGCGCAAGAAAGAAATGTCTGAGAAGAGGAACAGGGTGTGCCGGTTAAAATCACGACGAATTTCTCCGTCGAAGCGCAGCTTTACAGTTTCAGGACAAGGTAACAGGCTCCGGGTCGATTCGGCTGAACGCGTCGCGGCGCTCGAGCGTCGCCGATCCGGCCGCCATCATCGATCGTTTCCCTTATTCCTGAGGAACACCCGTTGCGCGCCTGCTCGGCCATCAGCATTTACCACCGAGAACGCGGAACGTTGCGCGGCAGCCTCTATCGGCTGAAACGGCAGAGAACAGATCGAGTATTGATAGGCACCTTACGTACTACGAAGTTGGAGACTTTAACGTGCACATAGAAACGACGCCTCGCCGGGGGAGACCGCGCCGCGCCCGCGAGCGCCGCGCGATCCTCCCCGACGAACACGCTCGGAGAGACAGTTTCGTCGTAATATTTCTTGTTCTCATCGTCGAACGAGCGAAAGAAGAGAAAGGGGGAATTGGAAGAGGAAACAAGGAGCTGTAAGTACATCAGCGCATCTCGTCGAACCTTTCGTCCGTCGGAGGAAAACAGGAAAGGGGGGTCGGGGGACAGGGGACGGTTGGGTGGAAGTGATTCAAAGGATGCGAAACAGTGCGCAGGCAAGATAATTAATCAATTATCCGTTCCCGAACGAATTAATTACTCGGACCGCTAAATTCTACGCCTTAAGCTACTATGATTCGGTTTCGTCTCACCCGCTGAGGTGGCCGCTCGCCGGCAGTCGTTACTTCGCGATCTAGTCGGCGGCGAGGGCCCCTCGGAGCGCGTCCAGTCCATTTAATCGGGCGCACGGCGCGTGCTTGCAGACTATTCTCCGCGGCTTCCCTTCGGCTTCGAGTAGTCCGTGGTTCGTGGCGGCGGATTCTGAACTCTATTCTCTTAGCTCCCCGGAGGAAGCCAGTCGAAAGACGTTAGCCCCGAGAAGATTGGATCTTCTTCTTCGCAAAGGTCGTTCGATTTCGAAACAAACAAAAAAGAAAAAAAAAGAAAAAGAGAGAGATAGGAAGAAGGTAAGAATGCCAGGGGCAACGAGTCAATCCGAAACGAAAGTCTGGAAGCCTATGGCAAAAAGGTTTGTGGGACCGCTTTGCCTCTGTGGCAACGACTCCACCGTCAATGGTTTTGACGAGGATGAGGACCAAGGGAAAAAAGACGACACAGGCTGAGAGGAGGACAGACAAGGGAGGATGAAGAAGTACAAATTCCGGTTGACGAGTGACAATCCGTCGTTGGGCCTGTGTCGGAGACCTCGGTGTACCACTGGGAACCGCCACGTGTCCTACTGGAAGCGAAGTTGGTCCCGTCACGGCCCGTCGCCTGGCCGCGTCACGTGACAGCGATCAGCGTCGGCGACGGGGGAGGGGGGAGGAAAAGCCGTTTAGAAGTTCTGCTCGCCGTACATCCCGGGGAACCGGACAGCGTGTGCTCCGAGCTCGGCGGGCGAGAACTCGTCCTATGTGGCCAAGTGCGCGAACTGGCCTGGGTGGGGCGCGAACTGGTAAGGGTGGCCGTACGGCGACATGTGGTACGGCACAATGTTCATGCTCGCCATCTTGTGCTCCTTTTTCCACTTCATCCGCCGATTCTGGAACCAGATCTTGATCTGACGTTCCGTCAGGCAGAGGGCGTGCGCGATCTCGATGCGACGCCGCCTCGTCAGGTAGCGGTTGAAGTGGAACTCCTTCTCCAGCTCCAGCGTCTGGTACCTGGTGTACGACGTCCTCTGCCGTTTCGTCTCGCCGTTCGCGTTCACCGTGCCTGGAATACGAATTTTGCGAGTTAGAGAGTGGACTATAGGCTGCATTTTGGGGAGGATTATTTTGTTCACCCATCTCGTTCAAGAACCTTAACACGTTAAGGGTGAGGCACTGATAACCGATGCTTCTGAATTGTTTAGTAACAATCGTAACACGCGAGATGTCGAATGAAAATAGTTAACGTAGATAAGCTGATAATAGTGTAATGCAAGGATTGTAATAATTGCTCCTGTTTCTGTTTGATACGAAAATAAGTTTATGGAAAGACAGTTTCGTGGTTAACGTGTTAACTTGACTGTCGTGATATATAAGTGACGAGTTTACGAACAGGAATATTAAAGATTCTTTCTTTAAATTAGAGTTTTGTTTTTCTGTAATGAAAGGTAGCTAATCTGATTTGGATCGAAAGTAAAATGTGTTCGGAAGGCGTTCTTCGTGATGAATGCTTCGCAATCATGGGGACTTGAATCTCCGATGGTTATCGTGAAAAATCGATTATTGAATTATACGAAGAAAGTACTGGACACCTGCTGCACGAACGAACGCCGAGGAAAGTGACGACATTTCCTGCCGGTCGAAGCAGGTTGCCTAGAATTATCGGCTGCCGTCTGATAACCCGCGTGGCCGGTTGTCGAACGTATCAGACGGACATTCCCTCTGGAACCAGTAACCAGCTCGCACCCAACCGGAACTATGTTGAATTGAATTCCGCAGCGTATGCGGTCGATCGCAATCCGTGGGACAATTTAACCTTCGTATTTTAACACGTTCGACGCGCGTCAACGAATTCGTGTTACTAGCAACTAGTCCTGCTCGATTGGAAAGTTCTCGTTTCTATCCTGTGGAATTTTACCATTGATCGGCTGCTCCGTGGAAAGTTGACAGTTGTCTGGCTGAATTGAACTTCCATTACAATGTCCAATCGTTAAACATTGAAACTCGAGAATCTTCAACTACTACTTGTTCAATAAAAAGCAATACATACAAAAAACACAATAAATACGATGAATACCATTTAAAAAAAGTGTACCGAACAGAGCAAAGAATTAATGACATTAAAGATAGAAAGGTCGTAGGTCTAAAGTAACCTCGAGACTGTTCCGAAGATCTAACCATACTGCTTGAACCACGTGTTCCGTCAAATTGTTTAAAAACTCTCGAGAAGAACTGTCCACGGAGGGTCCACGGTGTCCCCAGGACGAGACACAGGTTGTATCTACGTCAGCGGGACACGGATAGCGATTAATCACCAGGAAGGATCCACGTAGCCAGGTTAGATCCCCAGGACCCCAATGCGCGTGCCGGCGAGCCGGGTTCGCGCGTTCGACTGTCGTATAATAATGAGTCCGGCCGGAAAAAAGGAGTCCCGGTTACAAAACGGCTAGGTGTGCCGGATAAACGATATGCGGGATGCACGGTCGGACAGCCGGGCCGCTATTTATTAAAAAGTCAGGCCGGGGGACGTGCTACATCGGGAGGAAAGCGATAACGCGGCCCTCGAATGGTCCCGGTCGTTAAGCTTCGCTGGACACCTCGTCCGCGTCGCGATGAGAACTCGCCAAAGGGCTCGCGGAAGCTCGGGAGAGTCTGTTACGCGAAGTCCCGAACTTCGTTGATGAGGTCATTTGGCAAATTAATTGTACGCGAGCTGTACGACGGTCGTGAAGCATTGTACTTCTGTGTTACAGTTTAACGACTTCCGGAGTTAAATTGCGAAATTGATGATAGATAGTAGATAGCCGGTGTTGTGCGTCGGATAGAACGTTAGGAAAGCATTTTGTCGTGTAGGATATTTTTAATCGTAGATCACTTTCACGTCGGTTTCCCATTCGAGTTAATCAAATCAATTCGAGGAAACGAACGTGCAGGAGTGCTATGCTCGAAGATTCATCGCGCAGATACATCTAATAATCCGCTACTTTCGAGAAGCGATTGCACAGAATGCATTGCGAAAAAAAAAAGAAAGCGTTGCACGGGGGAAGTATAATTTCGACTGTGCCGCCTCGAATTCGCGTACGGCTGATCCGATAAAAAGAGAATGGGGAAAGTTCTCGTTTCGGATGGGCGACCGCAGCAGGTGCGAGGCGAGACAGCGTCGCGCCTCCAGCGCGATCGTAGATCCATGTCAATGCGGATATTAAAGAGTCGGCTCATTTACAGCAATAATGAATACGCTATTAATAGCGTTGCGAGGGTGAGAGCCGGCCTGTGCTCAGGGACAGCGCCGCCGCCGCAGAAGCTGCATCGGCGAAGCGAAAAACAAACGTTTCGCGACGCGGAGAGAACTCTCGTAGGAAACCTCGACGACGCGGACTCTCAGCGCGAAATATTACGTATTCATCGAATACTAAGCGGCTTTACAAGCTGTCCATCAAACCGCTGATGATATTATTTCCCCGGTAAACAAGCTATTAGCTCCAGGATGATTAATTCGTCTCGCGAGTGCCTCCAACTTCGAGTAAACACTTCTTTTCGAATTGATTTGTTTGGAGCAGGGAACCGGGTCTAGGTCAGCTCTATAATAATCCCATAAATGGTAGACTGAAAGCTTGCCCAGTGACAGAGCTTGATTAATTATCCGGCGAGCACTGAATAATCCATACGTGTTCATTTCGCCCGCTGGAAAACTGTAATTCACCCGTTAGATTGATCGAACCGCGGTGATAACGCTGTGTGCATTGGCAAGTGGCGTGCCTGTCACCTTCTTTCCATGTTCTTCGCGTAAAGTCGCGCGCATACTCGGAGCTACGTTCCTCGTTCCAGATTCACCGATTCACTAGCAATTGTTCTACATGCTCATTTCCATAATCGAACTTGCAGATAATCCTACGTAACACTGACAACTTCCCTACGAATTCTTCTCGCGCGACATTCCCCGAGTCCAACAGCTAAAGAAGAAACCCGATTTCACCGAGAACAAATTCGCCGAACCTGTTAATTTATCCGGAGCATAAATCATCGATAATCATAGCCGGATTAAGCAACTCGCTAATCCAGTTCGCGATCCAACGCAAGTTCACGCGGAACGAATCGATCCGACACCCAAAGCAGTATCAATAAGCTCGCTATTATTTAGAGCGGATCGCGCGGTATTTACCTAACAGGCCATGGAAAGCAAACGAAGCGGAGCCGTTAATAAAGGGAAACTTTGCGCAAGAAACGGCACCGCGAGCCGCGCCGTGGCGAATGATTAAACGATTCGTTTGCGGCCTAATGCTCCTCGGAGCGGCCGGGTCCCCGGGTTTCGTAAAGTCCCCCGGCCGCCGGACCAATCACGCGATGCGAATATTAAGATCTAAAACGGGCGAATCAGGGTTTTTGTCCGCGCCGGCTGGAAAAAGGCAGAAGGTAACAGGCAATTGGTATTTAAAGCCGCGACCTCGGGGTTTCTATGATGCTCGTTGCCCGAGCTATTCATTACCAGATAGTCACGGGCTTTTGCAACGGCGCTGCGCGTCGGAGATAGGTGTAACAGGCGGGGTATCGTAATAACAGCGTTGCAAAATTATTTATGGCTCGGGCGTGCTGAGCAAATAGGTAAAACAGCTGCCAAGTGACCAGACCGCGATCCGGTAGCAACGGCCGATGCATTAGCCGCACGACTCGTTGAAATAATTAACGTACGCACGCGGGTGAGCGTTACGCGGGCGCGTCCGCCCGTTATTACGCGCTCTGCTCGCCTTTGATCGTTCACTTTTGATACCTCCGGCGTTCCCCGCGCTGCGACGCGTTGTCCGGTTACCTTTTATTACGCCGCGCGCGCCGGCCGACTCGCTGTCCGTCTCGTTGGTCGCTTGGATCGAGCTGATCGGATCCCTGTTATTCGCCGGGATGATAGCTCACGCTTGGAATCCGTGTTCCAGAATGATTCGTCGCTCCGTTTACCGAATCCTTCTGATTATAAGGTATCTCTTAGGTTGCTCTTATTTCATTTGCCGCGGGATTATCGGGGATGCAACACGGATCGGATACGCGCAATTTCTGTGTAATGGTTGCAAGTAGGTAAGCGTCGGATGCTCGTGAAAAACTGGTTCAGTGGAGATTTTTATGGGAATAGATATCTTTATTGAGTTTCTGATGCCTTTGAGCGATTAATATGAAGTGCTCATACAGCGATGTGTTTACTGCAGTTGAGTTATATATAGAATGAAAGGAGTTTGAATTATTTAGAATAGTTCTAAAGATAGTACAGGTGACGAGTATCGTAATTATTATTCTAATCGTTGTACCCTGCAATTAACGTATGCTTCCGAAATCTCAACAGTTAGATGTTACAAACTGTACACTGATACAAAGAATGTTTCCCTTGACGATTAATTATCAATGTAACGATTAAATTGTTTTTTCCATTAAACCTCATATCGAAACTTATCGTCGCTCCGTTGGATCGATCTATTAGCATGAACCCAGCGCCGCTAGACCGCGTCATCGGGAAGGACAACGCGCGCCGTCGCTTTTTTCTAAATCTCCCGCGCGATGATTAATGGCCGTCCACGCGTTTCGTCGGCGTCGCATCGGCTGAAAGAATGCGGCGACCAAGGATTCGCAGCAACAAAGCGGCGAGGGCTCGGCCCGCGCGCAACCGAGCGCCGCCTTTTGAATAATCTGAATGCGCTCGCGGATCCGTATTCGGCCTGTAACGCGGACAAAGCCGGCCAGGATAATGATCCATTATCGGCCATTGATAAAGATAGCCGGGAACTGGCGCGATTCCGTGACTCGAATGCGCGATCCCGAACTTCCTTTCGTTTTTCTCGTGGCTAATGATCGATCGATCCCCTTCGGTCTTGTCAACAATGATGTTGCGATCCTTTGTTTCGGCTCGAAATCGATAATCAATTTGCTCGTTCCTGCCGTGACGTATGAATTGTTTTGCTTTTGTTGTACTTGATATTTATTTGGTACAATGATATCGTGTGGTTAGTTAAGGAAGAGGCTATGTTTATATTCTGAGATTATTTATAGAATAATTCGAGTTACATATCAATATTTTCAGCACTT